ACACCTAAATGCTTTCAGACAAACAAACAACCAAAAGTGATGATCGATTAATATTAATCAAATGCATTTCATTAGCAACACCTGGCTGCCACTAAACCCTCTTAATTCCAGTGGGAGCAGTAAGGCTGCCCATAGCTTTTCACTGGACTGTATATATAGTTTTACCAGGATTCTGAAGAGCCAGAGGTCTGTGATGTGGTATTTGTTCAACCAGGCTCCATAGATCTTCAGACCATGACAAGAGAAAAATAGGATAATGTAATCGGTGAGCATCATCAATACTGAGGTTATCAGTGTTGGCAGCAACAATCTATACACACAAACACAGACACACAGACACACAGAAAACAGACATTTAAACTGGCCCAAATGACAGTAAATGATACAGCTGATTATCTTGTTTAGAGAATTGGATAACTGTGCTCGTTCACTTACTCTCTGTCATAAAGAAACAGCCATGTAATGTTCAAACAAAGGCTGATTATAATAGAGACATGAAATCCATAGGGTAGCACTGCTGGCATGGTGTACATCCAGTCATAAGCATTCCTGTGGGGAGCATGGATAATATTGTTAGATAGGGAGAAAGAGTGCAGAAAGAGTGCCTGTGGGGAAACAATCAGACTCATAATACAGCGTGAGAACAATCTGCAATATCTAAAGAGAAAATGACTGCACGGAGGCAGTCTAAATTGCCTCTGGACCAGGTGGGATGATTTTCCACATGCAATTTTTCAAATGTGAGATAAAAGAATACAAAAATCGAATCATTTCTGGAGTGTGATGCAGTTGCCAAACATTGCAGTCTCATGCAAATTGTATGTGTAAATACAACAAATGGGACATACCTTCTGCAGAGCGCAAGTAAAAAGTATATATACATGGCCAAAACCCAAAAGTATGTGAAATCCCACACGAAAAAAGTCCACTGAGCAGGAGTTATCTGTGTTGTATACTTAAGTGTCACATCCTCTATGCTCTGCTTGAATACAACTGTAGGGAGATAAGCATTGCACTGTTGTAAGCAGTTTGTTATTTTCCCAGTACTATAATTGAATTCTTTTTACATGATTGAATTCTTCTGGAAATATTTACCTGATCTGGAACCAAATCCTGAAAGCGAGTTGAACGTGATGGATGCTAAAAAGGTACACAATCCAACCAACATGAGCACCACACGGGCTGGGTTTTGATTTGCCATGCTGTTTTGCTGGAGGGTAAAAGTCCACAAGAGGATAATTGATCAATTATAAATAATTAGCAATGAAATATATATATATTCTCAAATATTTTTTTAAGTAGCCAAATCTACACTTGTGTAGTCTTTCCCATTCCTTCAACAAATGCAGTTAATGTCCTACAGGTCAGAAAATGCCACAAAATAACAGCTTGCCTAGGGTTGATATATATTGTGTCATATCTTTTTATGATGCTGCAGTGAGCGGCAGGTTATCTGTACCTATCATAAAGAGATTGCTGTTAAAGCAGTTAAAAGCAGGTTAAAGAGTAGTGAACAGCTTGTGAAAAGAATATGCTAGCATAATTGAGGAGAGAGAGAGTAAAAACAAACAGCGTTAACCTACCTACAAGGAAAAAGCTTATAAGCACGGATTACAAGCAAATTACAAACATTGGGCTCAATAACATGTTTTCTATGATGTGGTATTTGATATTATAACATGATTTTCATTATTCAAACATATGTTTATGCAGATTACATATGTTTTTTTAATTTTTTATGATTTTTAAGAAACTACACTTCCACTGATTATTTTTTATTACAGTGAGAGTTTTTTTTCCACATGTAAGTCACTTTAAAGATAAATCAGTGCAGGTTTTGTGTATGCAGCTTGCTTCCACACAGTGGCACCATTGCATGATACTGTGGCAGTGTTTGAGTGCATACTGTATAGAAGTGCCAGTAACACTATAGCTCATCAGCACATTGTATATGTAATTAATCTGTAATTGTACGATTTTAAAGGAAAGTACATTTTGGGGTTATGATGCTGTTTTCATTCCTACTAGAGAAGTGATCCTAAAATTATGACTCTAGTTGAGGCACGGTGCATGGTAGGGTGTAGATGACCAAACTGAGTTAAAAATAAGCAAGCAATCATGGTGACTGCAGTTTTATTATTGATTAAAAGTGTGGGGCATAAATTATTTTATACTATCAAAATGGGACAGATAACAGGATGAGAGCCACTGGAAAACTGTAACAGGCTATACAGAGTCTATGTGAAGTCAGTTGAACTGAAATGGACTGATTCTCTTTTCTACTCTCCTGGAGTACTCAAAGCGCTCTATACAACATGCTTCATTCACCCCACTCATACAAGCACTTGCACCACAAGTGCAAACTAATCTACATTCACACTCCGATGAACACATCGGAGGGCAACTCCTTGCCCAAAGATATTTGACATGCAGACTGGGGAAGCCAAGGATCAAACCACCAACCTTCCAATCAGTAGCTGATCTGCTCTACTACCTGAGCCACAGCCACCCCATAAAATTCAGTTTAGTTAGGCGACTCTTTTTCACCTCGAAGACGACAGTTTTCTACCAACCAAAGCAACACACAAAGTGTATTTGACAATTTTTACAAACTGTCAAATACACTTTGTGTGTTGCTTTGGTTGTGTGTTGACAATTGTAAAAATTTGTAAAAAATGTCAAATACAGTTTGATATATTCCTTAACTTGTGTGTCATTTTGTGACAGGTGAACGTGTTTCCATTGTTTATTTTGCATTTTAAAGCTACTAAGAGTTCAGCAAAGAACAGTCCAACATCCAACTACAATAGCATGGTTGGAACCGATGCCAATTAACACTGAGTGAGTGGTAGTGGGTACACCTTGGACAGATCACCAGTGTCTCACAGGTCTACTGTACCTGAATTCACAGGTTAACCTTACATGCATGCCTTTGAACTGTAGGAGGAAACCAGCATAATAGTAAGACTATAGCTGGTAAAATCATATAAAACATGGGTGTTTGTGTCTTTCTGTGTCATTTTTCCGAGGATATAATTATTCTGCTGCCAAGGATTGAGATCGTGGGCAGCCGGACTGTGACACGGCAGCACAGCTGAGGTTAAAGGGAGCACTCAATCCAGGAAAACTCCCCCACCAGATTCCTCACCCGGCACCAGCTGTTGTCTAGTGGTGTGTTCCACTTAACGCTCTGCAATAATTAACGCTGAGTTCCCCCAGCGGAACTTGGATTGCGGGCTTTTATGGACAAACACGTGGAGTCATAAACACAGGTATGCTATTATATATGGAAGACTCACATTTTCTTGATGCTCATGAACACTAACATGACCATCAAGTCCACAGGCTCTTTGTTAAGACACTAAATATACAACTATACTACTTTTTTATGATGCTGTTATCCCACAGTGGGTCTGGATGATTCTTTCAAGTTGACTGAGTGATTGCTGTGACCCGTACTGCTGGCAGAGGACAAGGTCCAATTTGTCGGCTGCTCATCATCTAATGAATGAAATCATATCCAATTACACGCCCGCCATCTTTGATCACTTACATTATGAGAGATATGTGCATGATGGGTTTTATTAAAGATCACTGTCAGCTCGGTAATACATTATGATTCACTTTATGACTCATGTACGTCTTGGCAACAGTGAATTTTCACCCCCTTCTGAATCACACAGCGATTACATCCAAATACTGCTAAATATTAACATACTGTCAACATTTTTTGGGGGGTGCCTGCATGAAAAGCAATTACCTTGGACAGACAGGGAATCAGATAAAAAGAACAGAACAGTTTGTTGCTAGAATTCGTGATCAATCACAGCAAGAAAAAGAAAAAAGTGTGTTTGAAAAGATCTTAAAATTACAGCTATGCATGGCAACAGCTTCCCCTGCATCATTTCTGTTCAAACTAGATTGGACAATTGGGACATTTCTACATGAACCGTTTGGTAATTAGGGACCGTGACTAACAAGCTCTGTGTGTTTGGACCGTTTATCTTCTCGCAGCCCAGGCTATGTGACTTTCACGCTGTATTTATGGACGACATTTGTGGATCCCTCTGGAACCAAGGCGCCTAATGTCACTATTACACTGCCATGACCAATAGCGGTGACTGTGCCAACTAGATTACAAATGAGGATGGCAAAGGACAGCAAAGGTGAGAGTGGAGGATATTAGCCCCCAGATTTAATCAAGACTTACTCAGAGTCCCAGAACTGTAATTTAGCCCTTTATTAGAGAAGTGTTAAAACTGTACACACCATTGAATCTTTAGGAAAGAAAAATAAGAAGTCTCTAAAGCACAGGCTTAAACAAAACTACGAGTTACACCTCAGTGGGGTTTGTTAGGAAACTAAAAATTACTCACTCCTTTTGACCAAGCAGTAGACTCCATGTTTTCTCTGATATAGTTTTCACATGTATCACATTCAGTGTGATAACCCTGCTTTTTTTTTCACTCACATAAGTCATACGAGAACAGAAACTGAAATGAAATCATTTTGTTCTGGTGGAGTCTGTTCAAATAAAATTTTCATTCTTTTAAAACTATGCTAGCTACTGTTGTTTACTGTAAGCATGCACTATCAGTGAAGATCAAGTTTGGACACAGATAAAACTCAGGTTGCGTACAGAATAGACTTACAACCTTTCTAAATGCCGCGGGTTGTCTGCGCTGCAAGTGCAGTGTGAAAATGTTAGATGGCTATCAGGCAAGCCATGTGACGGTGTACTAAATTTGATTTTAAAGATTAAATCTTCTCAGCTTGACCTAGAACTACAATTGGTACAACAACAAAAATAATAGATCACTCTCAAATAAACGTTCTTGTATGAAATATGAAAAGGCTTTTATTGTTGTGTTGATAGTTCAGTGGCATGCTTGCCATGTAAGTAATGAAAGGTAGAGTTTATGCAGCAGAAAACTGAGACATGACATGGCTTCATGGGCAACATGCAATCAGAGTGTAACAGCTCTGGTTCTCAGAAATGTTGGTCACCAAAGCAAGATGAATCAGAGAGGCTGAGAGACAAAACCCTGGGGGAAAGTACATAAAACACCACTTGTTACCATTCTAATATATCTCAGACTGTTTGATTGATTGCCATGAAATGTGACGCAAACGTTAGTGTCTCCGTTTTAAATGTACATCGTTTTTTTGAGGTTATCTGATTGAAGAAATCAGATTGTACACATAAATATACATTGATTAGTGTGTAACTGATTCATTCTCATAAAATTTGAATTGATAAAAAAAAAAATACATTGTAGCAGATGCCAGTTTGTGGAAGCTGTCCTGTTGCCCAATCATCTTTAATACAGATGGACATCCCTGTTCTGCCTAGGCATGTTTTATGCATGTCTGCATAACTAGTATACCAAAGGCAGAGGAGAAGAGAACTCGTGGGCGTTTGCGGCAAATTTTAATTTACATCTGCATCTACACGCTCGTGATATGAAGGATCATACCTATGTTTGATCATTTCATCATGAGATATTATTATGATCCCTTTTACCAAAGAAGCAAAAGGAAAGGAAAGAGACACGACTGGAACTGGATTAAACGTTATCCTCTTCCTCTTCACATCAAGCCTCACCTCCTTAACTGAAGTGGGGGCTCCAACACATGAAAACATTAATAAACAGGCTCATTTATATTGTTGCGGGTACTTATTGTCAGCAGATTAGACACACGACCCTCCCGTCTTTGGAAAGCTGACAAGAGCACATTATGGCAGCTACTATTAGGCTTGAGTGCCTTACAAAATTACACGTTTCCTCTGATAAACAGTTTGATTACCTTCTTACATGACATGAGAGCTTATTTGCTAAGTCCAACAGTGTTACATCTACTTCAAAGAAAGTTTCACTGGTACCAGCTAACAGAGGGTAACAACAGCAGGTATCGTCAGAAAAGCTCATCAGATCCTCAACACCTCACCTTAATACTGCTGTCTTTAGACGGGAGGGAGCTACATTGACTTAGAAACTCATATTACTCCTTTAACAAAGTTTTACAGCCTCTTCCAAAGTTAGCATACATGGATACATATTGACAGCTAAGGTAAACAGCAGACTGACAACCCACACTTACCACAGATTCATAAACCATAGTTGTTTGTCCTAAAGGCCACTTAGCTATGATGTAAAAAAAAAAAAACAAACAAAAAAAACAAACCCCAAACAAAACGAA